CCCCAAAGACTCAGATATTTATGTCGACGGCTGTGTAAATACATACAGTACTGGTTAGGATAGTATGTAAAAGGATGCAGGGGTCGTTAAAATCCTGGGTAAGAAATCGTTGCATCCATCGAAATGTTTGCTAAGGACTAAACGAACGAGCGATTTTTTTCCCTAATCCGGTGCAACGAATGGAAAAGAAGAAATCCGGTGAAGGTAACTGGAGTATCTTATAATTCCTGTGGGAAAATGTATGCAGATGCAAACTTTAGAATGAATGCAGGGAGAACGGAAAACATTTTGAGCCTGAGGGCGTAAAAAGAGAGACGTTTCGCACTCTAAACGTTTCAGTATATGTGTAGATCAAGACAAATTGTGGGATACAGAAATAATGTAATATCTAACGGTAGAGGAACAAGGTGTGTTTTGATCACTTACAACGAAGGATGACGAGACGCGTACAAGGGAACACAGTCTGTTGGGACGTAAAAACCGAGCCTTACGTCACAATCCTTGTGAAGGTTGTGAGATAGGGCCTGGAGGTGGGCCGTCATTAATTCGTCTAGCCAGCCTTAAGGTTTTAATGATCCCTGCTGATTGTGGTTATGCAACCCAGAACGACGTCATAAGCGTGTTTACAGTCAATGAAGTTTGATGGGAGGGAGAGACTTTCGACTTAGACTGAGAATAGGAAGTGAGATAGGACGGCTTTCTACAAAATACCACAGATGGCTAGAAGTACAGAAAACATTCTGCCGCATGGCCGCCTGAAGTGTGTGCGATTATTGAATCAATCAAGCAGCACACTGCATACATATGCAGGAACGCCATTTTATGACCAAATGTGCAATACTGATCTTTCGATGCACTCTAAGATGTTGGTTTAAACGTGAAATAGGAGCCTTACGCTTTTGCATCATTTATCCCACACGAACACAATGAACTGCACCAGATAGCAAACGGTATCGATTGTAGAACGCCCTGGCTTATAGGCCAACGATTTGACATCATCAGTTTGTTTGCCTGTGAAAATGCGGGGATCAACACTTTTATCAGTACGTTTAATAGCAATGATGTGCGCAATCGGTTGGTACCTCCGAGATCCTTTTCGGGCTCTGGTGTTATTCTGGCGTCTGGCTTCTCAGATGTCTGAGATGGTACCAGTCATTAAGCACCGATTCCACATCTCTGTCAGCAATCTCTTTAAAACATCTGAACGTACTTTCAGAGCGATTGCTGATAGAGCATTCAGTCTACTAGCCTTGTTTAGCTTCAGTTTCGTAAGCTCCTTGTAAACACTTGTAGGATCAAATAAAACTGCAGGCTGCAAATTGGAATAGTAAGGCAGTGGACTGTGTTAGGTGATGAGGAGCTGAATTCAGTATTGTTTTTGTCTGTATACTCTGTGCTGAGTGTTCCGCCGGAGCGTCTTCCAAGCAGTTGTCTTCGGAGTCTTCACAGATCGCCGCAACGGTGGTTGCCTAAAATTGTCTGTGTGGACGGGCTCTTCAGCCTTCTTACCTAAGCCTTTATAGCCAAGCATAGACAACTGACATGGGCAGTTGGCCTACGTTTAGAAGTTTATTCTATTTTCCTCCATAGCTGTTTGTGAACCGGTGATGAATACCTATCATTTCACAAATAGGTTGTCGCAGTGGAGCACCACCGATCACAACAGTAGTTAATATATTCTGTGAGATGTTCACATTGAGCTGACAACTTTTTTTATTCGTGATAACTGAAAAAGCAGTTTTAGCAAGTGCTCTTTTCAGCTTTTCGATGTTATCTGACAAGCGCTTCTGTCGTTTAAGAGTTCTGGACTGTCTTTTTGTCGGCGCAACACAGTTGACCTTACTGTATAACTCTAAAGACACATTTTTACTATGCGATGGTCCAAATAACCAAAGGGAGAACACTTTTGTGTCGAAAACTAGTTGAGTTCGTTAATAACAGCTAAATTTGGATGTGCATCGAGTCTCACGATGTTTCCTACTAAATTATTTAAACCCATCATGTTAATGGAAGCTGTATCGCTATAGTCCAAGTCGCTCGCGAGAACACACAAGCTATTGTAACTTTGGTTGAAACTCCAAGGCAAGGGGATCTGTGAACTTTTGCTGCTCGAACAACCCTGTGTCAGTAGCTAATGCAAACAGGTGAACCAATGTACAGTACTTCGGTGTTCTATAAACAGAACCCCATCCTGCGCGACCCGCGTTACTGGGTTGTTCAGAAGCATAGTCAATGCGCGCTGAAGACACAGAGAAGCTGCCCACTTTTCTGCGTCACGCCCATAATTTGTAACCCATTCAGCTATAGCACGGCCATAAATTCAGTGATACTAATGCATCTGTTGTGTTCTCTCTACCTTCTCCTCTACTTGACTATACTTGTGTTTAAGCAATGGAATAATCTTTTATAACGGGTATAAAAGCGAATGCATGACAAGTGCTGCATGATGGTTGGGGTAAAAATCATGAGCTCATACCGCAGTGTCGATAAAAAGCATGGAAGTTGCATGACTCACCGAGAGGTTTGCAGTATTACAGATTTGAATATTCCGGCCTGGAGTTTAACGGGAGTCGGATAAAGTTCACTGTTTGTTCGGCACTAAGACCTGGTCATGTGCTATATCACGTAGTAGAAATGTGTCAGTGTGTCGGAAGGTCATCTCTTAAATAGCCATAAATTGTGAGTATTGATTATATGCGCTGGAAGGGCATTCCAGTGTTGTGACACGCGAAGGGAGAAAACGTTTCGTCAACATTCCAGTCGGCTGTACTGCGTGGCCAGCTTTAACTGATAATCCTACAAACATGTGTTCCGGCTTAGTCTCAAAAGATGATGGCAAGTGTGGTTAGGGGTTTTAGGACATGACACACCATTATGGATTTGCCCTGTAGACGTTGTCAAAGTTCGCTGTACTTTTGATAGTTTTCTGTCTGAGTTGATAGAGTAGTTGGGACGAACCTGTAATAGTCTTCGTCGCCTGCGTTGTGTAGTCTGAAGCGGGGTGTGCTGTACTACTGCCATGGTTGCCACGCTTATATAGCGTATTTCGCTTGCGGCCTCACCTGCCAAAGATTTGCGGCATGCTGGAGCCTTCGAATTTTCCGAACTCCCAACGCAGCAGGCCGACATGTTGCTTTGCTTTCTTTGACCTCCTTACACTGCGCCTCAAACAACCAAGGTCATCTTGTACAAGCACGTGGTGATCGCGCTCATGAGAAGCGCGTTGTAGAATTTCTGTTCCCAGCCGATAGTTGTGAGTACTCCGATGGCATATGCTCGGTTTTTAAATGCATTGACTTCCGTCCTTCTTAACTTCTCGACATATCTTTTCTTACTATTTTATGGCAACCTGGATAAAGCTAGTACTGTTCACCACAATGCAGTACATCAAGTGAACTGAAATAAAAGGAACCTAATTGAGTTTCACGTTTCATCGGGGTTGTCTTGCATATACTTTGGAGTACATCACACTGACTCTTTTACTGTGGCTACGAAACGAAGCAACTTCCCTGTTGTTATGCATCTGATTAGTTTATTTGCCAGAGCACATAAACTATGCCTTTATAACCTTACTGGCACTGATAACCCATGAATCTCTCTGTGTGCCTAGTCGGGGACGGTTTACGATGTGTGGACGAAATAGTCCGTTCTGTTTGTTGACAAGAATTGTTTGCGTTTCGACGGGTGCTTTATACACTCTGAGCTTACTTTGCTTATGTAAGGCTAGTTCTCTTATTAAGGGGAACTTGTCAGAACGCAACTAATGGCATGTGTGCATAGTCTAGTACATGTCATTTAGGTAGTGGCTACTGTATCTTTTGTGCTTTTTCGGACGTTTTCGAAGGGAGAAATTCTATCAGCCTAATTCATTTAGTCGGTGATGGTGACCTGAGATGCACCGGAAATTAGCACATTTAGCGCAATATCTAGGTACTTGAATAACCCAACGCACCGTCTCCGAAATTTCCTTCACTACAGCGCGTCTAAAGCTCTTGCTTCTTTCATCTCAAGGGAACTCTCACGAATTACCCACTCAAAATACTTTAGGGCGTTTTCCGAAACTTACCTGGAAACGTGTTTTGCTTGGACAAATGGGACACTTTGTGAATTATGTGAGAGAATCACGGTACAGATAAGGCGCTGAACTGGGTTTATGCGTATAAGATCATACTGCATAGTTTTTTTAATGTTCGCAAATGGCCGAGAAATGCCGTTGTGACATATCTCTGGCGCATATCGCATGTCTGTTAAGCATAAATATGGCTGTGCTGATATCGTGATTACATGAGCTTCTCCGCTAAGAAGGAGTGAATAACGATGTCTCGTGATAGCTTCCATTACTCCTCAGAGATAATAAGCCTTTTTATTCGGTATAAGGATCTCAGCAATGAGGTTTTTTAATGGATCATCCAACAAATAATGATAAGGTCTGTCGGTGCGCTCGATAATAGTCCTACTACTTTTGGATTGCGCGGTTTAGTAAACATATGCCATCGATGACGGTCTGGTTGTTTTTCCCACATGACAATAGGTTTATTACCTTTACCTGTCTAGTAAACTAATGAGGAACTAAACTTGGGTTAATGACTTGACCTGAATAAACTGTAGGAAGCTGGGATGAGCCGGAGCTTACCGTCTTACGGGATGGGGATCCTGGGAACAGCCGCTTCGTTGGTCTTAAACACGACCTAATTTGTCACACACACTTAGCCAGTGACGTCCCAATTTGCAGTTTTTAACTGCTACCTTTTCGGTTCGACAATTCTGTCGCTTTTGGACCCATCGTCTATCATTTTGTTTCTAAGGTCCAATTTACCTACATTTTTACAAGTTCTGATGATTTTGGTAGTAAAAAAAACCGTGATTTACCCCAACAGCATCTGACCATTAGCTTACATTTGACAACCGGAGTGCATGTCGCATAGGAAATGTGCCAGTCAAATGTGCTATACTTTGTGTTTTAACACTTAAGCTGCTGTCTTCTACGCTTTGGTTTGCAGTTCTCAAAGGTGGACCTTTGGCCTCAGAATACACATTTGCTCAGTTCCACTTTCACTGGGGAGGTGGAAACAATTGGGGGTCTGAACATCTTATAGATGGAATCAGCAGTCCTGGAGAGTTGCATTGCGTTTTCCTCAACAAAAGTTATGCCGATAAAGAGGCTGCATTTGACTATCCAGATGGGCTTGTGGTTATTGGTGTGCTATTCAAAGTGAGTCCACTGTTGCTATTCGAAAAACGTCACGTATGCGATTCTTCACTTTTTATTGCTTTGTGATAAAAACGCTTAACCAGTGTACAAGAAACGTCATTGAACCACGTGTCCTCATTTATTCAACCAATTATACTTCATATTCCATAGTACGGAGAATGTCCAGTTATCTGGCTGTGAAGAAGGCCTCGGATTTTTGGTATAGTATAACGTTTCAAATTCCACTCTAATCAGGATGACTTCAGGGAACTAAGTCTATGAAATCCATGGGTACACTGCAATTATATGTGCCCGTGACGCTTTTCGTGCGTTTAGCTATGACATCCAAATACCTCAATGTTTCGGTACCCTTCCATTTTATCCAGAGCTTAACTGTGCTGTTCATTTTATTACTTTAATCGCGACTGTTAGTTTTTAGTTTTAAACACTCAAGCTCTGGTTTTTACCTATTATGTTATAAACCTTGCCCAGAATGCCTGGTTGCCCTTGATCTGCTTGATACACTACGGAGCACGGATGACTAGTGACAACAATGTTTCTTGAGTTATAAAAACTAACAAACCGTAAATCTAGACTTGGTTACGGTCACGGTCACATACGCCCAACTTTACGCTGTCTAGACATAGATTTGCTGTTGATAAACAAAAAACCTTAATTTCCTCGGTGTTTTTTCATCAGCCGCTTACATTCCTACGGGCAAAGGATTACTCACTATCAGTGACAAGGGAGCGATATGGATTATGAATTAGCACATGTTGTGGCCGAGACGATCACTTCAAGTAGCCAAGACTCCAACCTCACCAGGGCAAGGCTAAGTTGGCCATGCGGCCAAGTTACTTGTGAGGATTAGGCTTCAGACTTAGGTGGATGGCAGCCTCAGTAAATCAGAACAGGCTTGGAAAATTTTCTAGGTAAATAAAGTTAAACGAATAACTAGGGTTTCTAAACAAAGTGCTGGTGATTATTCGAACGATATTGTCTGGTTTTTTAACTGGGTTGCGGCTTCAAAAGCAACGCTGAATAACCTGTCTAGAGTGGTGCCATTATTTGGCATGGGCTTCGCTCCTTTGCATTGATAGTGAGGAACTCGTGGTAGTTGCTCACGTTACATTAGCAGAAGCATCGACAACGGTTGGTGCATAACGACTGGAGTCAATTCACACATTGCAAAACCCAGAACTGCTCTTTTGAATCTGCGCCATTTGTGGCGTCAGAAAGGTTTTTTTATTGATCTGAAAGGCCGTATTTACAAGGCCAAGGTGAAAGGCATCCTACTCCATGGCCGTGAAACTTGACACCTTCGGTCTTAGGACATGTGGCGCCTTCAAGTCTCTGACCCCCTTTGTCTGCGAAGCATTGCTGGTATCGGATAACACCAATGTGTCCGCAACTATGATGTGCGTAGGCGGGTGCTAGGCAGTGATAATCAGGCTAGTTCATTTGGACAACAGAGCGCACTGATTAAGTTAAGCTGGCTTGGACACGTACTACGTATGCCTGATCAGCGTTTACCGAGGAAGACCTTGTTTTGTTTACTAGAGGTAGGTTAGCGCAAGACTCGAAGTGGACAAAAGTTAACTTGGGAGCGGGAAATAAACTCAGTGACTGCCAAACCGGATGCCGTCATACCGTATCAGCTTCCATGCTGGAGTGCAAGTGACCCACCTTGTGTTTAGCTTGGGACGTTACTCTACATGGCTCGCAGTCGGCACCAGTGGCGCGTCTGTTGCCGTCTAGTCGGACTGCCTGTTTAACATGTGTTCGGTGCTGAGTTATCTGCGGGGTAATGGCTGATTATGACGCGGGGCAGTAAAAGCTGTTTCGCTGATGCCGTCTTATCTCTGTATGTTAGCCAGATGTTTCTCTTGGTATGTTGCTGATAAGGCGTTGACGCGTTGACCCTGAGGGCTTGTTTAGGGCACTGAGGTTTTACTCCAGGTCCTCTCTCTCTTAATGTTCTTCATTCTATAGGTCACCGTGGTTGCACTGCAGCGAAGCATCAATTCAAATGGCTGTTCTACTGAAGTTGATGATGATTTGAGCTGATACAGAGCGATAGGTGTGGTAGGTAACCTAAGATCTTTCGATGTCATGCCACGCAGAATACATATTCCATAAACAAGATCGACATCATTCTATCATTCCGATCGATTTGCGTACCATTGCAGGTAACTTTACTGACGCATGTGTTAATAACGGTGGTTTAGACAAATGGATTCATGCATCGACCTCTCCGTGTTATGCACGAACTCTGATTCAGCTATATATTGGCACCACTTAACGCATCCATGTATCTGGTTAGAGAGCTTTATATCATTTTGTTTCTCTCTGGAGATATTCTGCCATCTTTGTTGTCCAGTATTCTCTCCCCTACGTATAACGATAGATTTGCTTGGGTAACCTTAGTGTAGAAACAATACGCTGCGTCACTCGGGACGGGCTCTTCGAGCTGACTTGGTGCACCTTCTTGAAACAAGTTCCAAACATGCATTGTTAAAATTTAGGCAAAAATCCGCTCAAGTCCACTTGTGGCACCTCGGTTTTATAAGCTAATCATCTGGTCTTCAATGAATCATTTGTGAAATAAAAGTAATTTGCTGACTCGATTTCCATGGTAGACCTTATGTCTGGGGGGGGGAGGGCATTTACTTTACGTCTCCAACATGCTTTCCCTCTTGTTAATCGTGTCGACAATTGCAAAAGTATCATCCCCTTACCGACCGTAAACCTAGAGCCATTCTATGGCATGACGTAATCTGTTATGCTCCAGATGGTCCCTGAAGCCGTTAGTTAAAAGTGACTGCTCATCACCATAAATTCATTTTGTCAACGTCGGCCTCGATTAAAGCAAACGGACGACTTTCAACAGCGGTGTACGATCTTTCAGAGGTGTAGCGGAAAACTAAATTTGCCTGTATGCGTAAGAACTCTTCCAATGGGATATTTCTGAAAAAGAACAAATATCGTACTTCTACCATACAGGTCTGATTTCCGCTCTTGTCAGCAGACTCTATTGTATTGCGCACTGTGCACAACCAGCCCACATTGAACAGACTCGCTTCTTCAGGTAACAATTGTCGCAGCTTTTGGTGCAACACATCATCCGAAATAGTAATCCTAATACTACGCTTATTTCTCCCGATCCGATAAACTGTCTGTAGCGGCGTAGATCAGTATGTACAACATCTTATCATGCTGTTGTATGAGTTCTATGCACATGTGTAATATTAAGGGAATAAGGTTCATGTTATAGAGTCTCAGTGGATGGTTGGGGCGAAAGCCCAGATTTGGAAACGTGGATTTTAGTACATTTTTTGGCCTCTCTTGGGGAATTTCTCATATGAATACAGCCATTACTGTACTCAGAACAAGGTGACTCGCGGGCTCGTTAATTAATGTTGCCACATTGTCACACGACCCGATCGTGATTGGCAGTTTGTTTCACAGATAGCTACATCTGGTCAGTAAGAAATTTAAGCACATGTATTTTCTAGCCTTTGGTCTAACCAGTGTATAACCTCTGTTTCGAAGCTCTCGTATTAAGTTATGTATCACGAAGTTCTGCTCATGATAATTCATAATCGAATGCTTACCAATTAGATGCTCAGTAAATGACCTCTTCAGATGTACCATAGCAAGTCTTTTGCTCTTTCTCACGTTGTCGTATAGCAAACTACAGTACTTGAGGATGGTGCGAGTAAGCAGCTTGTAAAGCTCAGCCCTAACATGGTTTGTATAGATTTTGTTGATGTATTAACCACTGATTGGCTGATGCATACCATTTGGTATCCTACCTGCTCGGAGAAAATGAAGGTAGAGGATTACGTACTTTTTAACTCGCGCATGGATAGCTGTATAGGGACATGCTCGTTGTTCAGTACAGTGGACCTATCGGGGTCGGAACAGTCGTGAGGTAGAATGCTTGCTTTCTTAGCTGAGGGATTCATCATTCCCTTATGGCCACATACCTCAAGGGAATTAAAGTCATTCTGTATGGACAGCAGCCTTCCGTGAAGTCTGTCACGCCGAAGATTATAAACGATCTTGATATGGTCGGCGAATAACAACGGTGGATCATGTTTTACGGATTTGAGAATGTTATTGATGTAGATCAAAAACAGCGAAGAACCAAGCACCTTACCTTGAATGGTCTCATTATTAATACAGCGGAGAGAAGAGCGATAGCAAACTAAAGTGCCCACCTGTTGGTGTGACGATAAGCAATCTAGAAATAGATACGGAAACCCGAACGCCTCTAGATTTTTTTTAACAAATACTTTTGAACAATGATTTATACTTGGTAAAACTGCAGCTGCTTGACAAGTCCCACAGGATAGTGACGGTAAAACTACACTATCCAAAGATATGTGACTTGTCTGTCTGAGTGTTTATCTAGCAGATACGCTGCAGAATAATAGTAGTGTAAGTGGGAATTGAAGGTGAACGACGAGACAACATGGGAGCAGTTATAGTTGATGTACTCCTTGAGAAAACTAAAAGCGAGAATACTCACTTCTGGACAGCCTCCTCAGGTTTAGTTGACATTAATCCGGTTTGAAGAGATAATTAAGAAATGCCAAACTAGCACACTTTAGGCAAGCAAGTGCTGGGGGCCTAGGGCAAGATCCAATCGTTTTTTAAAGATTTCCAACGAAAGGAAGGAAGCAACTAAGTTTGGAAAGAGGTTCCAGCGTTGGCAAACCCGAAGAGGAAATTAATTCTGCCGGCATTCCAGGCGGCTATACTGTGCGCTCAATTTCAGAAGGTTACCTCTGATATTGTTGTTATGGCTGAGTCTCAGCAAGTGACAGCATACGTGGTTAGGGTCACTCAATATTTTGTAGACTAGTGTGAGATCGCCGCACAGCCTTCGGTAGCGGTCACTGAAAACTCCCAGTGGCTTCAGCGTTTGCTGGTAGAACAGATTTCATAGGCTCTTGACGTGCTTTGTGCTCCTGCATTGTGGTTTCTGTAGCACTTCTAAGTCATGCTTCAGTCAA